TTAAACATGTCCTTATTAGTCATTTAATGTTAAATAATAACCATTAACCATTGTATAGCCAAACAGTTATATTTATCAAATCCGCTATTTACCATCCACTACCCAATTTCCGCTATCCGTTATCCACTATCCACTATCCGCTATCCGCTACTTGCTATCCGCTATTCGCTATCCACTGAATTTTAACCGCTGTATCAAACATACCCTTAAACACTTTAAACATTATTAAATGTCTCTAATAATGTTTAAATGTGCTTAATTGATATGAGCATACCACCCACATTAAATATTTATTTAAAGGCTGATGTAATCAAAATGACACCATCTAGAGCAGGCGTTGCCTAAGTCCCTTTTTTCAACATTGGTTACTCACCGACCTGAGTTAATGATTTCAAACAAAGTATATTTCCTTTCTTTGGGTTTGATTGATTCCATAATCCTTTACCAAAAAGAAAAGGAAAAATAATAAAACAAAGGACATTTATAATAAAAAAACCTACTTCTATAATAATATATCATATTATAACCCTATAACAATATAATTATATTATTTTTTATTTTAACCCTGGAATTTATTCAACAATAAACAGCAACGAGTCAAAAGATGCTTCTGGAGAAAGTAGGTAGAAAGATAGCCTTGTGGCCCTTGTCCAACAAGGAACCACCGAACCAGCCATTCGTCAACGAAGAAACCAAGAACAAGTCCAATGTTACCTGTTTAGGGTTCATGTTATATACAGTCACTTACACCGAAACTTCCTAAAACCATCGCTTTTTCTTCTTGTAAGCTGAGGACAGACGACTCAATGGGGCTAGACTTCTGATTCAAAAGGGTAATTTTGAAGCCAAGGTACAATCTTATATATGGAGAAAAAAACCAATGAATTGGGTTTCGCATTTAGATCTTAGAATTCATTTTCCTTTCATGACAAGGACCATCAGAACCATATTTAATCTATATCCGATATTTTTCGAGTTTCTTTTCTTTTCAGGCATCTATCTGATTGTAAAAGACTAACGTCTCCCACGAATCTCAATTATGCAGTTATCAATTCAAATCGCTCAATAACAGACAATTCTTTCAGAATCCTGAACAAAAATAAAGGGATTGATAAGTAATAACAAGAATTTTCCATGATCGCTGATAATTCGTTTGCTGTCCCAGATAGTCCATTTCCGAGGAAGTGATCCAGCAGTTGTTATTTGGGGATGTAAACATCATGCACTAACAGCATCGCTGTGGCAACCACTCCAGGGTCACTGCTAGAATACGACATGTCAATAAAACACAGTACATATATTTATTGTAGTTTCTCAACAGGAAGTGAAATTAGATAGATAATAATAACAGAAGTATTAACAAAACACTGGACTAATTCAAGTGTGCTACGCAATTGTAAAGTGGACTGATACTGATTCAATTTATTATGAGATTAAGATGCCTGGATGTCCCCCAAAGAACTCTTTCTCTATCTCTCCTTGTTTGTTTTATCCTCCAGGACAAACTTTCCATGGAAAGGCAAATTCCATTCAATGGTTGACTGGCGAAAGGCATCATTCAGGCAAATGTTTGGAAATTGGCAATATCTGTGTATGAAGGTGTTTTCTTGTGTAATAATTGGGAATTTTTTACTGTGCTTGCACACCCAACTAAATTGTCTGCTCAACTTGTAGGGAAGCTTTGGCAATTTCTAATGCCTCCTCAATCGAAGATGCATTTTGGAGCTTCGCTTTGTCAATGGAAGGTTGGCTTCTTGCCAATTTGGGGAGAAGTTGAAATTCCTGGAACATTTACAAACTGCTGTGACCTTTTTTGACTATGGTAAGCAAAATTGTAGGATGAAACAGCAACACGTATGCAGGAAATCTGATGAAAGCAAAAACAGCATCTTGGTCTGAATAAGTGAAGGGGGACCAATGTTTAGTATGATTATCTTATAATCAGCAATCATTCAAAGCTTTAAGCAAATAGAAGTGAAATCTGTGCTTTTACTTTCTTTCTGAACAGTTAGATGCCAAAGAAATTAGAGGTAGGAATTTGCAACATGAAATTACCAGAATCTACCTAGAAAGTAGCAATTTTTGGAACAAAATTCTCTATTTCAACTGTTTCTCCGACTGTCCAATAGGATTATCCAATGTCTTAAGAACCGCTTGACTTGTTTTGAGCATTAGGTTTGGCTTAATTGGTTGAACTAGTTCAACCAACTAATTTCATCGATCGTAAAAAAATGATATTATTAAATTTTTAAAAAGTAAGAAACAAGATTTGATTTTAAAACATATAATAATTATGTAAATATTAACTTATTAAACTCAATAGTTTTTATTGTTAAAATTTTAATTTTTTAAATTTATTTATAATTAAAAATTACATGTAATAATTAGTAATTTTATAAAAGTTAAATAAAAATTTTAATTTAAATCTTTTAACATCAAACCATTTCTGAAATAAAAAGAGAGAGAGAGCGAGAGAAAGAACAATACCATTAAATCAAATTTCATTTAACGTTTAAACATTTAAAATTTTGAATATTATCAAATCATTATCATGATTTTATTAAATAAATAATTTAAAATCTTAGAAATAAAATCTTAATTTAATTTAGTAATATGACTTATAATTTAAGTTTAAA